TGCTATTATACAAGGTGTCATAATTGTTCAGATTGAAAATTTATATTGATGAAAATCCCAAAACCCTTTTAAATCCATATCATCTTCCCTATTTGTATTAACATAAAAAAATAAATAAATAAATAAATAAAATAAAATAAAAAACCTTTTTTTTTTTTTTTTTTGTAAGGGAAGAAAGTATATCATAAAAATGAGAATCAAGATGGTATTATTGCCATATCCAACCAATTATATTGATTGAATATTACGGTATTTATCAAAGTATGACGGCGGAAGACTCTATTTTAAAAATAAAACTTGTTAAAAACTTATATAAAGCCACTTAAGTCAAACTTACAAACGAGAATCATAAAAAGCCTCTTTAAAAATAATCTAAAATAAATAATCCTTTAAACATTAACCAACATAATATTTATTCAGAGAAATAAACAAGAAACTCTATACTCTCAGATAATTCTCATGCAATCCCTTAGCATACATCAACTTGAATTACCGGAAATTAAATAATTTCTGCTCCCCATAATCATCACAAGTGTTAATATGAATCATCACAATGCCATCGAAGAAAAAGATATGGCAAAACAAATAACACAACTACTCAGTGAATGCAGAGTATGTACAGTAATTAAAAAAACATAATCTAATTAATTGAAACTCATAAATAAACTCCAAGTTAGGCTCATTAAATAACGTAACTTCATGAACTAAAACCCTTTAAAGAAAATTCACTTACTTTAGAACAAATAAAGTCGATGATTAGAAATACTACTAGTCTAGTTCATTTTAAAACAAGTACCTTGAATAATTAAAACTCATTGATTAAAAATCATTTAGACATGGTAGCACATAATTCAACAATTAATAACATAATAACACTTTACTCTTGACTTGACTTGACTTACTTTAGTCCTTCACTTTATTACTGGACTTTAAATTTTGCTTTAATCTTTACTTTACTTATTTAGGTACATGAATGGGAATCATGGGAAGCCGTGATAATACTTATTGCATTGTCCTCCATCAACTCGAACATGAAAAGGGATCAACTTTCCAATAAAATGGTGAATGCACTTCACCTCCACAACACCATAACACTAAAAACAGCAGGGGCAACGTCTCACAGTATAATTAGGAGTCTAAGCATTAAAACATCATACTGCCCCCATACATAATACTTGTAGGGATCCTTCCACAAGCATCACGCCTTATTAATTAATTAACCTTGACTTACTTTAAACTAATATAGCACTTAAATAATTCTTTCTTGACATTAATCACTGTCTAGGTGATTAATAAAACAAACACGCTTGACTTGACTTGCTTGACTTAACTTTGGCATCATACTCATACTTTGATTCGCATAATAAAAATCATCACTTCACTTTATTAGCATAATTCACAAAATCACTTCATAAATACATACTAATAAAATAATACGAATTAATCATACATATAATTAATTCTATCATGCTTTCTAGCTTGCATAAAAATTCGTACATCATATAAACATACTTCTCATATATCAAGTAGTACATAAAAATAGTCTAGGCCTTTCATAGACCCTATATGCTTCACACATAAATTCTCAGGCCTAACATGATACTACTTGCGATATAATAAATCTACCTAACATGATACTACCTAGCTAGAGCGAGAGTATGTGTACATATGCCTTGCCTAGCAAAATCCAAAAACTCAAGCACTAAAACGCGTCTTCTACGTACTCCTCTCCTAAAAGCCATAAATAAACCATAATAATACTACTAGTCAATTATTACATAATCTAAAATAAAATTTCAGCTTTTTTAATATGTTGAAATCTTTTTTTTTTTTTTTTTTTAATAAAGCTTCAAAACCCTTTTGAAACTCAAACCAATAAACTAATTCCAATACTACATTCATACTCTTTAAAAAACCCATTTAATTCAATGATAGATATTAAGTAATATTCATGAATATAAAATCTGAAAATTAACATCAAAACCCTTGAAATTAAATAAATAAAAATATGATCGGCGTTAAAAAGGAAGATTTAGGATCGCAGAACGTTCTGAATCATTCTCCGTCCTATTGACTTACTTTGACTTTTGTTTTCGAAACTTACGCTTTTCCAAACTCAGTCAAAGTGGGGGCTTCTGTAGACAACTGATTGTGTCTCCCCAAAAACCAAACCTAGTGATGAGTACCTTTCATGTTTTTTATTAACGAGTTCGATAAAGAGTTGAAGAGTCTCATGAAGTTTCCTTAAGCCTTGACCATACCCCTAACCTTTTCCTAAAATGTTTTAATTCAAAAACATTCATTTCGTGCCTTTAAACCCAAAATCATCCATTTTGTGTCCTTAAAAATCATTCATTTCGTGTCCAAGTCATAAAAATGTTTAAACCTGATTATTTTGGTCCATGTTCCCGGTCCAATTATTTTTTAGTTGAATGGGGCTTGAAAATCTTTGAAAAGAGCTTTCAACGATATATTATAAGCCCAAATCCGACTTAAAACATATAAGTTATGGCCAAAATACTAAATCGAGCCCAGGTCCACCTTACCTACGACCCAATGATTATATCAGGGTCCAATTATTTTCCTAATCCTAAATCAGTTAGGAACTTCTAGAATCCTCTAGAAGGATCTAATTTATCCTTTCTCAAAAGATAAAGATCAAAGAGTTCGAGATTGAATAAAACTTCTCATATGATAGTCCTTATCCCGTTCAAATTCAAAGACGTTCAGATATAATTACGATCATAATTCCATTAGAAATCAAACTCCGTATGAATTAGATTATCCTTTAAAACCAGCGCAAAACGCCAAGACCAATGCAGCGCATTGGTCCCAACGCAGCGCATCAGAATCGGTTTTATTCCGATTCAAATTCTGATCTTTTATGATCACTTCGACTCTCTTTTTTCCCTATAAATAGAGGTCATTTTCCCCATTTTCAAATCAGCTACATCCACCTAGCTCCAATCTTCATCGATCATCAAACACCCCTGTTCTTAGCCTTATCCTAAACATATCCTTGATACTCTCCCAAATCAGTCACAACACCTCTTTCACGAGATTCGAATACTCCTAGCCATACTCGACGTTGCCTTCGACCTCGACGTGAAAGGTTGATAGTTCTGAGGGTTTGGTCCCAGATCTATATTTCAATTCATATTTGATTTATTTACTTTATTGATTTAACTTTCTTGAAGTTTACTAACGTGTTTATTGTTTTAATAGCAAGAAGGTTGAGGCATCAAAGTAAGTAATTCGATTACCTTATTATTCTTTGATTTAAGAGTAGAAATCATGTTTACAATGTTATTTTAATTCCTAGTATCATATTTATGACGTTGTTTCAATTCATAGTATCATGTTTACACTAGTGGAAAAAATGAAATAAGCACCGCACTTTTAGCACCGGTTTTTGAAAACCGGTGGGAAAAGAAATGGGCGAGATTGGGAAAAAGACTTTTCGCACCGGTTCCTAATAAACCGGTGTGAAATCATCTTTTTCGGACCTATTTGAACCGGTGCGAATTAAAAAAGAGAAAAAAAAAGAAAAAAAAAGGGGGAGAAAGGGATTTCGCACCGGTTCAGACCAAACCAGTGCAAAATAGTGAATTTAGCACCGGTCCAAACCGGTGCGAAATTTAAAAAAAAAAAATCCGGGCTATCGCGTATTTCTTCTTCTTCTTTTATTTCCCCCTGCTTTTTCATCTTCTTTTTTCCCTCGTTCTCACCTTCTCTTCCACCACCTCCGAATACCCACCTTCTCCATTGAAGCCGTTTATGAGCTTTCTCACTCCATTGAAGCAGCTGCATGCACCTCCTTCTCTCTCCATATCTCTCCTCCATTGAACTCATGCTCTCTATTCTCCATTGAAGCGAATTCTGAGTTTTCTCACCTCCATTGAAGCAGCTTCGAGGTAAGATTTTTGTTGTGGTCTTCTTAATCTACCGAATTCCTTCGCAACCTAGGGTTTATCGTTGATTTGGTTTTCAATTTTGTAATTTTAGGGTTCTGGTAATCTAGGGCTTGTCATTGAAGCGCGCACGGCTCCACCTCCACCACAACGGCCTCCTTGTTATGGCGGCACGGCAGCAACCCTATTTCGTGTTCAATGTTCTGATAATCCTTGTGGATTCGGCTCTGAAGACGATAATAAAAATGTAAACATTATTTTCTTTTTAATAATATTGCTTATGATAATAACTCAATTATGGTTACTTGATTAATTTTGTGGCTGCAATTTTTTTATACTATAATTTTTCTTTGTTTTTTTTATTGGCTGAGTTGGGTGTTTGATTTTTGGACCAAAAAATGGAGCAGCTCAAAGCAGCAAAAGAGCATTCTTCCACAACAAAGGTACTTTTTTTTTTTTTTGGTTAACCTCTAATTTGGGTTTTGGTTGTATTTATGTTGTGGTTTTTGGTTGTATATATGGTCAAATTTCTAATTTCTAATTTCTAATTGTATTTATAGAATTTTAATATAATGTGTATTGTTGTAGTTTTGAGTGAGTTGAAGTTTGGTCAAATGCATAATGAATTATGTGTTGATAAGGTGCCCTTTTAAGACTTTTTTTCAATTTATGATGCTTTGTTACTAGACGAAAAAGATAAAAAGGCACCGGTTCAAACCCCCCCTTAGCACCGGTTTTGAACCGTTGGGTATTTGAGGGATGCCAAAGCCATGAAAATTTGGCACCGGTTCAAAACCGGTGCCAAAATTAAGCATTTAGTACCGGTTAACTACATGATTTGGCACCGGTTACCGGTGCCAACTACCATGGCCCGATTTTTTTTTTTTTCAATACTATTGGCACCGGTTCAAAGCAAGAACCGGTGCAAAAAACCCCACTATAGGCACCGGTTCTTGCTTTGAACCGGTGCCAAATTCTCAAAAAAAAAAATTTAAAAAAACTTTTGGCACAGGTTCTGGTCCAAACCGGTGCCAAAAATACCCCAAAAAAGTAATTTTTTTTTTTTTCACTTAAATTGATATAGAAACATTAACATATATACAAAGTTACATATTTTCATTAAAAAAAAGGCTGTAATATTACAATTTTCGTCCAAAAGAAATTAAATAATCCAGACTTATCTCTGATCGACCTTTCTTGCATTTCATTTAACTAGCTGTCCTGGTCTTGTGCTGGTGGCTGCTCTGCTGGCTGTGGCTGTGTTTCTGCTCTGATGGTTGTGGTTGTGTTTCTGCTCTGATGGTTGTGGTTATTCTGCTTCTGTGGCTGTGTTTCTGCTCTGTTCAAGCTGGCTGGGTGATTGGTTTTGCTTCTGTTGTGCTGGTGGCTGCTCTGCTGGCTGATGTGTTGTTGCGTCTTCAGGCTGACCTGCTTCTCTGCTGTTTGCTGTGCTGCTGTTTCTGTTCTGCTGCGCTGCTGTGCCAAAAATAGAACTTCCTCTTCATTTTCTTGACAGCAACCTGTAAAAAAACATTCACAGTCCTACACTCATAACAAATCAAATGATATCTTGAACAATCAACTCTAATATCTGCAGATATACCCTAACAATCAGCTCTCCGTAGCTAAAACAACGAAAATCATCTCAAGAATCAGTTCACACTCGTAACGAAAGGTTCATGATTAGAAACAAGTCAACAACAATGAGCATAGTAGGTTTCAGCTTCAGCTCAAACCTACTACCATTCTTAGGCTATCAAAGGCTCACATAGCAACCTATGTCTTCTATATCTTTCTTTATCTAAGCTAAGTGTGGATGTATCATATGCATTATTCAAATTATAGTTGTGTATTAATGTATAGCACTAGCTTAAAATTGTGCAACAACTTTCACAATTTACATACATACGATGATACAAGTATCAGGATTTCACACTACACTTTGTGAGTTATGCTAGTAATTTTGTTTTCCCATACCAGGGTTGTAACTCTAAAGAGTGCACCAAGAAACTTCTTAATTACATTCAAATTTACTATAGTCAAGTACAAACAAAAACATCATTATAAATTTGTGTAGTTTCACTCCTTCCACTTTTTTCCCCAATATTTTTATGTTTCTAGATATTCAAGTAAATTCAATATGTCTTGGTGATCTGCAAATGACTTGCTACAAAACCCCTACACAATGAAGACATGCATGCATTCCATTAGAAGTTTCTCTAGCTACAAAGCATTTTTATAAACTAACAAGTCAATATCATGGATTCTTTTACAGTGTTATTCTCTATATTTTCATATTAGAACAAAAAACTTAAGGACCTCAAGCAGGTTAGTATAATTATAGTCTTCTAACTCTACCCTACAAGAATATAGGGAATGAGAGAAATAAGATCCAAATCCAAGCAGAACATTCAATATTCTGGTAATTCTACCCTTCAAGAATAAAGAAACCGGATACGAGTATGCGACAAATTATATTCTGCCAATTTAGTGATCCAGATGCAAGATGGAACAAACAATTTGATTGAAGGCTTCAAGTAAATTACATGCATTGGATCCAAAAAGAATATCTTTAGAGTAGCATTGATATATTGGCTCATTAAAAGTTAGATTAAAAGTTAAGAGTAGCATTGATACATTAGATTAAAAGTTTGCATTGTTACCTGACTAGTTCAAGAGCATAGATGTTTAACAGAATCCGAATTTGGCTTGGTCAAAATATGAATAGTATGGGGATTACTGTCCCACTTGAGACCTGAAACATGGATAAAGTAATCACTCAATTGAGACAAAGAGGAGCTAAATATAGAAGAATACAATTCAGTAACAAATTTTCTTAGTCACTGGATAATCTTAGCACATGACCACCTGAGTACCTACTTAATTTTACTAATTTACCAATACCCCTCATGTTTTACAGTCCATACAGGAAAGTTTTCCCACATGGTGATATACACACTCGAGCTAAGCTAGTAAGTTACCAAAACAGAACTGAACAATGAGCAGTCAACCTTCAAAAGATATGTGGGGTTCGGAAAGCTAGTAAAAGGATTAAATTATGTTGATAATCTTTATATGAGCTGTTTGAAGATCAGTCTCATTAAACATCTTATACTTATACATAGGATATACCAGCCATAATAAACCTCTTAACTTTCATAGTACATAGAATTTGTGCCATAGTAAGCCATAAGGTTATAATATATCCAAGAATCAGTTCACAGAATTTCATCAAATCTCCTTGACCATATAGGCAAGAATCAGTTCACACTCATAACTACATTAAAAGTTCAGGTTACAGAAATCCTCTAATATCTGCAGATATACCCTAAAAGTTCAGGTTACAGAAAACCTCTAATATCTGTCAGAACATAGTTCATCATTCTATCATGTGTCTAAGTGGAAGACAGAGTGACAGACAGAGAGTAAAAGCTTGATAACTCTACTCTAGAACACTGATGAAACCATCATTTTAGTTTAGTAAAATGCTAAAGCGGCTTCACTACACTTAAGGAGAGAAGTAATAGCCACAACCTACAAAGATATATACATTCTATTACCTATAGTTTAATTTGCATACTTGGATGTGACATATTTCCTTTTCCCAGCAACCATATCAGGATGAGTAAAAATTCATGAACTCTCAACTAGCAAGACCCGACATTATTTTTTGGGGTATATTACCTACAGTATCCTACCTCAGGTGCGAGATAACAGAGCCTTCTTCCTTTAGTATCAAAGAAAAATGAGAAATCAGATGGATCGTCGTCATTAGGAATATAGGTTGGTTTAAAAGATGAAAAGTCAGCCAGGTAACCAGCACATTCTCACACTTAATATCACCTCCAAAATGAAAAACCAAACACCAAATTATACACAATGCAAACCCATAAAAGACAAAACACAAAATTACCACAATGCAGTCACTTACCATGACAAATATCATGCTCGTGACTCTGCTTAATGCACACAAAAGCTAAAAGCAAGAATTTGAGATGCCAAAGTGATCAATCAATCCAATTCTAAAAGGACATACAAAGATGTAGAGTAGGAAAAAACTACAGGAAAACCTGAAAAGTAAGCCATTTCATCTTAATTAGGCTAAAGGCCTTGTACTAAGCTGATCATGGAGATTATTGAAGAAATATTACCTGAGCAGATAAGCCGCCTTGTCGGTTTCCAGCCAAAACTGCTCACACCCAGTTCAATACCATCAATATTAGAAATGCCCATATTGTCAGAAGATAAAGGAAATAAATAAAAACAAAAAACTAAAAAAATACATTACACAGCCAGCCAACAAGCAAGTTCAATCCCAACAATCGAGAGCACCCACAACTCCACAAGATCAACTCAAGTTTATCAACGGTACCAACATCACCAGCAGAGAAGAATTCTCATACTGTTCCAAACAATGCCAGCAACCCAAAACACCGCTTCCTCAATCGCAAATCCCTACATAATCAAAATATAGAAACCCCTTCCTTACCACCAATACCCTCCCCAAAAAAACCAAAATCTTGCAGCAACCTAGTCGAAATTCCATCAACACCAGAAATACCCACATAGAAAAACTTCATATTTCCAAAATTTGACAGAAAACAGCTCAATTACAAAAGAATAATCATCGTTTTCCAAATCAATGGTCAGAATTTTAATACAGTTAACAAGTTGAAGGATCAAAATTTTCAAATAATATCAGCTATATAGTTCAATTCCTCAAAATAAACACACAAATTAACAGCAATCACACTTCAATTCCACCAAAAACAAAAACTCAAGATCTAGGAGCATATGACATTCGCAGCCTACATCAAATTGACAAAACTCAGAGAAACAACTAAACTAGTGTTTCAAAAACAGAGAACAATCCTCGCAATCAAGCACAGCTTACACATCGTATATGTTCTAAACTTCTAACCATCCAATCAAACAAACAAACTAATTGAATAGATCTCTAATTCAAATCGGTCACAAAACTAATTCAATAAAAAAAACCCACAAAACTGATCACGACAGATCTTCATATATCTAAAGAGAATAAGCAATTCTACCAACTATTTTCACAAACAAACGCATAATTATCAAAGTAACACTAGAAAAACACAAAATTAACAAGAATTACAAACACCCAGATCAATCATTTCCATCAATCAGCTTCAAGATTATCAAAAATGATATGAATAACAAATAAAATGATATGCATGCTTCAGAAATTGGCCGATAAAAAATGAAATGAAAACCCGGATAAGAGTAATAAACCCTAATATCTTAGAAAACGACAGAAATTGATCGAAATTACAGAAATTAAAAAAACCGATAAGTACTTTAATTAGGAGAGTAACATAGAGTGAAAGATCGAGCAAGATGAAGAAACCTCGAGAAAGAAGAAGTGTAGCCTGCTGATATTAGTTTGCCTCTTTGTGTTCAACAACATCAATTTAATCACCACCAACTCCAGCCTCCAATTATTGCAGCATCAGTGTAATTCGAAACCTTAGAAATTAGAGAGAGGTGATTGGATATGAGATTGAGATTTAGAGGTATAATAAGGGCGATAAACCCTAGAAAACGATTGATAGGGTAAAAGGAGGCTAGAGGAGAGAGCACGAAAAGAAAAGGGGAGAGAGAATCTGTGAGCGGTGCATGGTGGTTGCGGTTGCGGCTACGGCTGAAGGTTTGGTTGAGGTGAGAGAGGAGAGCATATGAGGAGAGAGAAGAGAGAGAATGGAAATGGAAAAGAACAGGAAAGAGAATGAAGAAGCAGAGTAACGCATACCCCGGTTTTTTTTTTTTTTTTTGTCTTTTTTAATTGGCACCGGTTTGAACCGGTGCTAATTACCATAGTTGGCACCCAAAACCGAATTTTTCAATCCCGCCCATTTTTTTTTGGCACCGATTTTCAAGAACCGGTGCTAAAGGGGGGTGCCTATTTCATTTTTTCTACTAATAATTGGTGAAGGTTTAAGTTTGGTTGATAATCAATTTAGCAAGTCCTTGAATTTTTTTGTTAAGAATGAAACCCTTATCTGGCCTGACAAACCAAATTCTTCGTGTTTCTAGATATCTGGATTCAGTAACACTACAAAGATAAATCATGAGTAGTGATTCTCAAGCTCTTTTACATCAGGGTTTATGGCTTTGACTTGATTAATCCTGTTTGCATTGATTGGATGATCTTTGTTTACAATTTTCTTCTTTGCAATATTACAAGCAGCTTTTTTAGCCTCGTCCCCTAGGCCCTGGTTACAGGAACTCATACTCTTAAGTGCAAATTATTTATAGAAACCAAAAGATTTTGTTACTATTACCAGGCTGGCATAGCTATGATGATGGATTTACTAGTCATTAAACTTTTTTTATTAGAATCATAAATGCCCAAAGGGCTATCAATCACAAAAGAGAATATTCACTGTTGGGAGATTTGGGTAGAAAACTTTGGTATAAACTTTTGTGACTCAGATGCCAGAACTGAGTCAACCCAAACTCTAGATAATCTCCTTGTGGCTCTCGGTTATGAAACTGTTGAACCGCTCTCTGGTCCCGTCGAAAGATAATTTTCAAACCTAGAAATATGGGCTGAGCTAGTAGTCACCATAGAAGCATACCTTCTTCATTCTATTGCCAGTGTCGGTCTTTATCTTGGAGTGAGGTTAGAGGGAGAGAAGGGTTTGAAATACATAACCTTACGGTCCTTAGCCTATTTTGCCATCTGTGGACATCTTGTTATTCTTGGTAAATTGCATGTGTCATGAATACTCTATGAATCTTGAATTTTGAGAAAATAAGTTATTCTCTTATCAAATAAGCAGAAACCTGCATTAATATGTTTCTGTCTATAGTGATCATTTTTCTAATACTCCCTTTATTTTTTTGTTCATCTATCTTATCTAATATTCCTCATTAAACCGAGGAAAGGAATTGAGACAAATAAAATAAATAATAAAATGAAACTAAATTTGCTAAGCTAATTTTTTTTTTCAATTGACAGACATGATAGATTGATACTTTTGATAGTTCATAGTTTCCAATTGACAAATGATAGTTCATACTTACTAACTTTTGTTTTTTGTTTTGTTTTTTATTTTTGTTTTTTTTATAGATTCATATGTGAATTGAAGCACAAGTTTAGCTTGAAGACTACATATTTAGCTCAAGTGGGAAGTTAGAAAAAATACATCCATTGTACTTGCTATAGTGGTATGAAATATAAACTTTTCTAATCTATATTTCTTTTTCTTTATTCATTTAACGAAAGTTTTTTCATGCTATTACAACTTGTGTATTGTTTAATGACAATTAAATACAACAATATGTAAATGCTTGCATAATCATATGCCTAGATACCCGTTCAAGGCTTTCTCATTAGGAGAAAGTCTTGAATAGTCCCCGATTGGGACTGTTCTTGAACGTGTACTCTCACTTAGGTGGTGAATGTATGTCTTCTTTTTTTGATTTTAAGGAACATCTTGGCTTATCATTTCCTCACCCTGTTCTTTGGGTACATATGTGGGTAAGTAATTATCTACATCGTGTACTTGGAGAACTGGGGGGAAAAACTGCCGGATTTTCCTTAAAATTGAAAAGTCGACATACATTCACTAGTGAAATTACACGTTCAAGGATGGGTTAGGTTGGAGCGATAAGGACCCTTTGGAAGCATATACATTTTTTTTACTATAAGAATGTTATATGCATGGTGTGTGTTTGAATTTGATTTACATATATAATATATGTAGCAATTATACATTATTCGTAATATGTTGCTATGTTTAGAGACAATTTACTTGATGGAGAAGGATCGTGGTTGGATGTATGGTAGACGTGATACATTGGAATTCTTTGATGGGGTTCAAGAGTTTTGCGAGAGGGCTTCATCTTATCAACGCAGAATGGGTGTCGATTGCCTCTATTGTCCTTGTGTTGATTGTAATAATGTGAAGGTGGTCAATAGTGCTGATATCATTAGAGATCATGTAGTTTGTCGTGGGTTTAGGCTTAAATACCATGTGTGGATTTGGCACGGTGAAGAAGGAGAGTACAGTGGGGATGTTGATGGGAATGATGTGCATGATAGAAGCAATGAGATTCTTGTGGACGAGGAATACAGGAATGATGAATATATTATTGATAATGGTGATGAGGATGGATTTGAGGATGATCAGGTGGATGAGGTGGAGGATGAAGGGGTGGATGAGATGATGCGTGGTGTTGAAGGTGACGTGTTTGATTCATTATCGGAGGCTTATAGAAAGCCTTTGTATCCTGGGTGCAAAAAATACTCCAAACTATTAGTTGTGCTAACACTGTTCAGCATTAAGTCGAAGCATGGGTGGACGGACAATTGTTTTACTTCTTTGTTGACCGTGTTAAGTGAGATGTTGCCTGATGGGAATAAAATTCCTAAGTATTACTATTATGCAAAGAAGCTCATGTGTCCATTTGGTTTGGAGTATAAAAAGATACATGCATGTCCTAATGATTGTATTCTTTATCGAAATGAATATGAACAATTAGAGGAGTGTCCACGATGCAAGAAGTCGCGCTACAAGCGCATGAGTTGCAATGCTGGTACGAAGGGACCTCCTGCTAAGGTGTTGTGGTATCTTCCCATCATTCCAAGGTTTAAGCGTCTTTTCTCAACACCAAAAGACGCTAAAAACTTGAGGTGGCATGCAGAGGGAAGAAAGAAAAACAGAATGCTGAAGCATCCAGCCGACTCCCCGCAATGGAAGAACATTGATATGAAGTTTGGGAAATTTGGTGATGAAGTCAGAAATTTAAGGCTAGGGTTATGCACGGACGGGATGAATCCATTTGGCACTCTTAGTACCCAACACAGCACATGGCCAATACTTTTAGTGATCTACAATTTGCCTCCTTGGTTGTGAATAAAACGTAAATATGTAATGCTTTCACTACTAATAGTGGGTCCAAGGCAACCTGGAAACGACATAGATGTTTATCTTGTGCCACTTGTTGACGATTTGAGAAAGATGTGGGACGAAGGGGTTTTCGTTTTTGATGCTCATAAGAATGAAATGTTCACATTGCGTGCAGCTTTTATGTGGACCGTTAATGATTTTCCTGCATATGGCAACTTTTCTGGGTACAAGAACACAGGAAAAAAAGCATGCCCCATTTGTATTGATGACACCCCAAGCATACACCTTGATAATTGTCACAAAGAGGTGTACGTGCGGACTCGAAGGTTGCTCAGCCGCGATCACCCGTACTGTAGGCAGAAAAAGGCTTTCGATGGGAAAGCGGAAGAGGGGACTGCGCCTAGGCCATTGACTGGTGAGGAGGTTTATGCTCGAGTTAAGGGTATACGAACAGTATTTGGGAAAACAGAAAAAGTTGCGGACTCAACTGCTCTCTTTAAAAAAGAATGAATCTTTTGGAAGCTTCCGTACTGGAAAGAACATGACGTTAGGCACTGTCTTGATGTAATGCATATAGAGAAGAATGTGTGTGATGCTCTTGTGGGAACGCTGATGAATATTCAAGGCAAAACAAAGGATGGAAAGGGTGCACGGTTAAATTTGGAAAAGATGGGGGTTCGTCCAGAATTGTGGGCTCAGGAAAAGGTTAGAAAGGGAAAGTAACAGGAAAAGAAAAATGAAATGAGTTCGAAAAAAGGAAAGGGGAAGAGCTAGACGACCAAGCCAATTATATGCGATTAGACCATAACGAAGGAATATTAGATTGAGGTACTATTTTTCAGCAATTTTGAAATCGTAGGCGTTGAAAGTATTATTAAATCACAGGTTAGGTGAAAATGAATGAAAGTGCTAACTTACTTGCCCATTTTTCACATTTTCTTTTAAATGAATGAAGTAACTTTTAAAACATTTGAAATATGGAATAAAAACGACCTACACTTGCCCATTTTCTATGTTGATTTGTATTATAATTCAGCAATTTATATTTGATTATAACTTTACCTTACAAATTTATTTATATTACAACTAATAACGTGTTATGTTTGTAATGGCAGGTGTTTACATCTCATGGCAGACGATCAGGACCGTATTTGTGTTGAGGATGTAGAGGATGATGATGATGATTTCTCTGAGGATGAGGACGAGCTGTATGATGTGAACAAGGAGCCTGATTTGGGTGAGGCAGAAGATCAGGCTCAGGATGAGTTGGAGCGTAGGCTTGATGAATTTGAAATTTCAGCTGAACAAGTGCCTCCTATTGAAAATGCAGTTTCTGAGACGGTTGGTGAGAACCCTACTTCCCACACTCAAATCCAAGGACAAAGTGGAGGAGGGGTGAAGGCACCGGCTAAGAAAAAGGTGAGGGGTCCGACGACAAGTTTCAAGAAACCCGTCGGTCCCATGGTCTTAGAGTACGACAAGGCAGGCCAACCTACAGGTAAATGGCGTCGTCAATATGCTGTTCACGTTGGCATTTGTGCGCGCAAAATCCTGATTACACTTGGTTGGCAGGAAGTATCTCCAGGCTTGATGGACACATTTTGGAATGATACAAGGGCAAGTGTTTTGTTTGCACATTTACACAATTATAAATACCTTCACTTTATTGTTATTTAAAAGGGGAAACTAATAATCGCTTTTATTTGTGCTTGCAGAGTCTGTTTAATATTCTTAACGATGCCGCCAAGCGAAGGGTGTTTGAATCTTTACTAGCGGAAAGATTCAGAGGCTTCAAGACCACCTTAGTTCGTGGGTGGATCACAAAGAC